ACCCATCTCACAGAAAAGATTTGGTCCAAATCTCCGACCCAAGGGTTATCACCCCCTCCATGGTGCTCTCGCTCTTAACTTTAAGTACTGCCATTATTTTCTAATTTACTTCTATTGGAGAATTCTGCCCGTATTCAATTTAAACAGAAAGCCGTGAAGATTTGTTAAAAATTGTTATATGTTTAGTTTTGATAACAACTAAATAGACATTTAATATTCAGAAGCTGAAACTATTACATATAATCTGGAACTTTCTGTCTGAGCTTGAAAACTGACATGCTTAGAAATTTATTAAAAAAAACCATTATACCGTTCATGCCATTTTGACCGATGTGAGGAGAGATGTTTAGTAAGTAGATAAATTTGATAATATTTTTCGCGGACGAATTAACCGGCAATGAATGTTGTGAAATGAAATAGGGTTTAACTTCCTACTTTCTTGTACCAGCCGGGATAATGGAGACGGGGATAAATGATATAGTCTGATCAGTCGGACTGACTGTTTTGTTCGTTATCTAACGTACTAATTTTGTCGGTTGTCGAAATTCGTCTGGATGAACGTATGTTTATCTACGTCTACTTTCATCTGCTCATATAACGAGCAAAATTGAAAAAAAAATATAATCTAAGCTACTCTTAAAGAAATGTCACCAATCCATCGTTAGCGTTTAAAGCAACAATACGTCATTGTAAGCCATAATATTTGTCGCTATTTATCAGCATTTAAACATATATGCAAATTGTTGAATATGCATATTAATTTAAAAATACCCGAATAATGCCCATTGGTTATCGCCCTTAATGGTAGCAAACGTTATTTAGGTAGCTTTCTAACCTTGTATTTGAGCAATATGGAGGTTTGTAGACGACGATAATATAGGATGTTTAAACGCTATGCAAAAACTAGACGTGACTAGCTTTTACAAATTAATAACAATGTTGTTACTTTAAAGTGATAAATCTACGCCCCCACACATCCCACATTACAAGAATGGAAGAGAAAAACATAGAGTTCAGATCAATAGTTTGTAAGAATCAAAACTATTGTTCTTCATTACGTCATACACTATGTGTATTTTTGTGACTATTGTAGGAACAATTTATTTTTGTGAACTATATTCAGATCTATACACAAAGGAAACTTGACAGACAAGGGAAACACTAGCCCATATGCCTTATTATTCCCGCGCGATAAATTTGGTCGGACGTGCAACCATTTTACTTTTCTGTTGAACTTGTAAGTTTGAATTCGAAGACGAAATGAAATGGGGTTTAACGTCCTACTGTCCTGCTCCGAACTGGGCTAATGAAGAAGGGTATACGCCATACAGTGTGCTATGAGGGACATTTTGCCAGGACAGCGGCACTACGGCCTACTCTTATATCGAATTCCAACTGTCAAGGGATCTTTTAAGTATACGCCAATGTATACACAGGACCTCGGTTTTTCGTCCCATCCGAACAGCTAGACAACTGTCCTCGTCGAACCATCCGTCCTGCATCACTGACAAGGAGGAACCACGCCGGAAAATCTTGGTGAACTTTCTCGGACAATGCAGGGATCGAACACCTCCAGGCTGGCGAGCCAGTGTCTTACCCACTTAGTCACCGTGACCCTCCGAATTCGAAGACGGGTAGACGGGAATACTGCTGCTATGGCAAAATTACACTCATAGTACCCTGTATGACTTTTATCCGACTTTAGTAGCTAAGTTGGTGCAGAAAAGTGGGACATTATGCACACATTTCATTTCATTTTATTTCTTTATTTTTAGAATAATCTATGTGAGCCTTGTGCAATCCACAAACAAGAATTGACATACGATGTATTAACAATAATAAGCATACCCTCGCATGTATATGTAACATACCACAACTTATAAATAACCCGAGCCGAGGGATTGTTTGGAGAGTTACTGAGCTTAAGGTGGAGCCGGGACCCATATGCGGGTGGTTTAAATGCAAGAGACAGCAGAGATTTGTAAACTCCTCACCCGAGAAATATAATCATGTATTCTATAAGTAAACACACCTCGCCTCGTGCATGATACAGACACTTACAAGCGGCATATATTCCTTAAATGTCAGTCAATAAATCTGTATTTTCCATGTAATATGAGTTATGAAATCATTTAAATTTTGGATATGATGTTAAGGATAAATATCTATATGTTAACGTACCAAAACGAAAAAACCAAACAAACCAAACCAAACCAAAAAAACCGGCTAAATATAAACTCAGAAGAACCTGCTTCTTAGAATAATTAGTTATATAAATTTGATTTCAGATTACAGTTAGCGTCGTTATCTTGTAACGAGGGTAATAATAACGCTGGAAATCGATAGAGATCTATTTGCCCGATTATTAAAGATTTTATATGTAAAAGTTAAATCTGCCTATTTGCAGGTCTTTCTTTGGCTTTAAATGTTATATAAATCATTATTTAGACATTTATGCACATATCAAGCCTATAATCAATTGTCTAGACCATTGGATGGCCGAGATTTAAATGGATTTGAATACCCGCGAGAACTAAAATGGACACTCGAGGCTTGTCAAGTACCGTTGCTACGATAATAAACGATCTACTCTACATCCTCAAACAGTCATAATTTTACCCATAATAAAGTAATTTGAATGACACATTCAGTATATTCATTTTTCATAAGTCCATTGTTGAACCATTATAGCAAGAACGGTCAGCTCTAAATCTAAATCTTACATCATGCATCTTTAAATAATTCTATGACAGTCAGTTGAGAGCTGAATGAGTGCGACTTCCTCTTCTGAAGCACTTGATAGATGTCACCCAAATTTGGAATACTGGCATGTTGTATAGGTGGGGGTTATTCAACTTTGTTCAAATAGACCGCATGGTGGTGGGAGGGAGGCAACCTGAAAGAGTCAAATACTTCGCAGTTTTTTTTTTATTTTTTACTTTAAAAACACTAAATAGGACGTCAACCACACCGTAACCCTTCAGATTTGTTCAAATGATCTGAATTGGTTCCGTTTTCAACCAACTTTGTCTAAATGACTCTGTTTAAACAAAATGCTGCAGATGTTTTGCTTGGATGATGATTATTTATATTAGTTCAGATGGATTTGCCAAGCTTCAAAAGCGGTTTTGAGACAACTTCATAAATAATTTGGACGAGTTCTTATTTCCAAATAAAAACAAGGTTCTTATAGCTGAGAAACTTGATTTTACACACATTTGCGTATAGCTACCTAAAACAAACATTGTAAGTTTGTAAGTTATTTATTTAACACAATGATACATAAATCAAGGTTTATCTTTAGAACAGGCCTCGGTATCCCCAGTGGTAACATTTCGTTCCACTCCACTAACACCGGAGTTCATTCATTCAAAAATTCAAATATCGCTTTGATGATTGTGCTATTTTTCTCGACATCTTTCCTATCGAAAAGTTGTTTTAGGACATCTTTTGTATGCATGTCACTTCTTTTATATTAAAGGGCCAATCCCGATAATATTTTGGAGAATAAAACTGCTTAATTTTGTATTAAAATCCCTTAAAATCCTCTACCTACAGGCTGAGCAACAAACTCAATATATGTGATACGTTTTCTAACAACTTAAACCCGTCAGTTTTCATCTGAGCTGTATTATACGGTGTCTGGATAAAACCAGACTTATATTTTATAAAAATAATGTGTCGGTGAAATTTACCTTTCGTTATCAAGTATAGCACATGGGTCATTCACTGTATAAGCCTCAAAAGGAACGGGAATCGATTATCAGATCACCCATCGGAAAAATTGACCTGAAATCTTAAAAGGGTTACGTGCCCGGATAAGCAGTTTTGATGTTTACGTCCAAACAACTCAGTATTTTGAGCTAAAATTTTGAGACAGGGTAATTGCACCATTTCTCTATATTTTGGCGTTTAAATTTCATACGTACTCTGACTTTTATTTTTGAGTCTCTGTTAAAATCGGGATAGTCCCTTTAAACTTTTTGCAAACTTTCTCATAATCGATCGAACATATCGCCATATTGTCGTGAACATAAACAATGGGGCTAAGACTGGTTTGTAAACTGGTTTTTGATTGGTTCGTAGAATCAAGGGCAGATAATTTGAATACGCGAATACCCCATTGATGAACCAAAGGATACCGAGGATACTTTGTTGCTTGACAAAGTGTCTACATTTTGTTTTTTACGTACCTATGACAATGTGTGCAAATCTACCTGCCGCCGGTCTTTCGTTTGGCTTCAAATGTTATATAAATTATTAATCAAACATTTATTCACATCCCAAGTACATAATCAACTCTCTAAATTTCCGGATAATATAATTTAAAAATGGACAATCGAGGCTACGCTATTCTTATCAACAGTCATATCTTCGCTCAGAATAAAGTAATTTGACTGAAATTTTCAATATATTCATTTTTTTTATTATCTATTTTTAAACTAATATTAAGCAAGAACTGTCAGCTCATTATCTAAATCCTGCATTATACATCTTTACAAAAACATACACGTTGATTTATATATCATTATGTTAAAAAATCACATGGTGTGCGGTTCATCCCACTTGATATTAATAATAACTGCGTGTATTTAGTTGTACTGGTTTAACCTATTTATTTATTTCACGACAGGAAAGAAAATAATCGTTTGACCTGGAATATGACGTATTCTAATCGTTTTATTAGATAACATATCTATCACCAGTCTGGCACTGTATGTTTTCATTTCTTTTTCCCAAATTAGCTATCAATAGAAGAACTATAACACACACACTCTTACACACATGCAGAGCCGTGTCTGTTGGTCTGTTTTAAAAAAAATAATCAATTTTTCTGGCGTACGTTACACGGTTTTCATTCATATTGGTTTGCCTGGCCCGTAAATCAGTTACAACTCAATTAGTAAAATAAATGTTCATTGGATATTAAGATAAAAATGAAATGCATTAACCTCACAACGATTGGTTTACAACTGAACTTTTTTTTATGTTTGTTTCAGGTAGTGCACGAAGTGGGCGGGTCTTGATGAAAAACACGTGGTTGAAATAGTGTGGTGTAGTGAATGTTAAATGCAATGCTGGAACTAATAATGGTTGTTGGCACTGTGTTGAGCAGACCGTTTCATACCTTGAACTCACGACTACCATAAGTCAAATATATGTATTAATACTGGTTCTTAACTCAAGGAAGAATAGAGACGTATGCATTACAGCACTCGTTTCAATAAAACATCGGTACCATATAATCATTCTTATCGACAGCGCTTCTGATTAGGAATGTATGATTGTACTAGATAAAAGTCTTGGAGCGTAAAAGGATGTCAGCACTTGAAGTAGCCTATCGCTATAACGCTATCAAATACTAACACCTGGTACAAGGCCTTAAGCATAGTATAGCTAATACAATACCTCAAGGATACGTTAGTTAGTATGGTAAATTCGGTGGAATAAGTCCACTGGGCAGTGATTAGTGAAAAAGTGCATGGTACATAATGTGCTCTTTTAGAGAAAATTTATTATTCTTAAACAATTCATTGGATGGATAAATATCTTAGTTAACTTCACATATTACGTTTGTGCTAAGTAATAGATTTATTAAAGTAACGAAGAAAAAAAAATGTAAAAATTAAATTATAGAAAATTAGGGTGATTATTAGAAGGATTTTTATTCATTAAATGCATTGACGTGATACTTACGTTGATAAGAATTGTGATATATACCTGATCTTGCTCTCCGTGCTCTTCCACTCGAAGGATTGTACTGGCGGAATCGATAAAACGGCGACTAACTTGATGGCTTTACTATAGTAGCAAAAACGTGAGTAGAAATGAAAGATTTCCTTTAGAGGGCAAAGAAAGTTGTCGAAGTCTTTAATTAGCAAGAAGAACTAAAGTTTTCATTGTTTAAAACGTTGAACTTAACCCGATTTGAATTTGTGTATCTCGCAATTAATAAAATTAAACGGGTGTTTAAACATTAATTGAATTTCATTTTAAAATCCCTGCCGGATGACATGCGTGAAATTAAAAGTATTGAATATCATTTAGTGAAAATAATCGTACGATGAATAACATGAACCTTAATGGATCCTCCGATGGAAGTGGAAATATTACGGACTTACAAAACATATTTTTACTAACTTCCGAAGATGACTACCAGGAACCGGTGGGTGATTACGAAATATACTATGACGGGGACGTGGACAATCTACGAAAACCATGGATAAAGGAACCGCATTTTATTCCAGTTGTTACCATATATGGTGCAGCGTTTTTAATTGGACTCATCGGAAATTCGTTGGTGATATTTGCCATGCTAGGTGATCGTAAATCACGAAGTGTGACGGCATCCTTCATGGTCAGCTTGGCAATAGCTGATTTACTTTACCTAATGGTTTGTGTACCTTTTGAGACATCAAGATATTTTATAGGACATTGGGAAATAGGTCCGTTTCTCTGTAAACTATCAGGTTATGTGGAGATGTTATCTGCTTTTTCCTCGGTCTTGAATTTAACAGCAGTTTCAATAGAAAGGTAAGTAAGATTTTAATTCCAATACATGTACCTGTATGTCGCCTCCATTAAAGTATACGGCTTACCATAGTTCCATGCAAGCTGAACATTTTTATATAAGCAACAAATACTTTTCGACGATTAACACTCTCCACCAGCTCTCTCAGACCCCAACACCAAACCCACTTTGAGCTAGAAATAGTGTATTATACTGAAATCCAGTAAAGTGTTTCGATTTCACCATTAGACAAGGTCGGGCACTGTATTTGGAAAAAAAACCATATGTTTTGTCGTAAACACCGTAATACGTGTTTTATATCTTAATAATAACGACATACTTATCTTGCCTATAGTTTACCTATCATTATATTTCTATTATGATTAAAACTATTATATAGGCAAATGTTCTTTCACACTGGTCAAATCATATGTAGGCCAGTAGATAAAGCATTTTTTTTTAGGATCGGTGCTAAATTCTTAAGCAGTGACGCCGACAAGATTTCTGAATTCGACATCGCGAGGTTCCGGACACATGGTCAAGCTGAAAATTTCACGGAAGCTTATATAATGCTATTTTGACATATTATTTCAGTGATTTTACGTAGTATTTGTACGACTATATAGTGTATACATTTGACAAATAATTATATTCTTGAAAGATCAAGCTTACGACGATTTGGGCACGGCACCTTTCACGACAAAAGTAACGATAGTTTGGACTTCACTTTCAGACAACCAAACACTCTAGATGGTAAACTTTAAATAGGAGACATTGAGGGGGCTTAGGTTCTTTCAAGACGTCGCATTTGATTTTTTAAGTGGCTTAGGACTGTTGGCTTGATCAGGAACAGCGTCAGGTCGGACGAAAAACCTAGGACCCGTGTAAACGTCGATGTGCATGTATAAGATCCCTTGACCTGCACGTAAAATTTCCCGCATAGCACACTGTATGGCATAGGCCAGTCCCCATTAGCCCGCTTGGCGCAGAAAAGTAGGACGTTAAACCCCATATATGTACTTGTTTATTCCACTGCCCCAACCCATCTGTATTTAAGAGAACGTATTGAACTATATGGAATGGTGATTTACCATAATGCCTTTTTTCTAATATAACTAAATATACTACATGTCTAGAACATAATAACTACATCGTTATATACAGACATTGCCCACCTATAACTATTTTTATGGAATCAACTTCCTTCAAAAATGAGAATTTTAAAATCCAAGGTAATCTTCAAATCCCAGCCCAAAATCTTTCATTTCCGAAATCACGCGTGAAAGAAATAACCACCTATTAATCTGGAACCAGCAGGGCAGTAAAACTTGAGTTTATGCGCATGATAAAAAAATATTGATAATTATTATTATATTATTATTTTAAAGTACGTAAATAATCACTGACATATGGAACTATAACCCATTGTAGCTAATGTTATGTCGCAGAGGAATAAAATAACTCTTATAAATCTATTAAACTTTTCGAATTCTTTAAGTAGAATTTAATCGAATAAATCAGCAATTTAGTTCTGCCGAGGAAACCATAAGATTTAGTTATTTTAGGTTCTATACGGAGTTATACATTTCGCCATTGAAACGTCATTATCTGCACCACGAGGACGAGTATGCACCACGAGGGAATTTTACCCCAACAGTGGCGCTACGGCGTATGCTTATTTCGATTTCCAGCCATCAGCGGATCTTTAACGTGGTGACAATGGTATACACCATGAGGGAAATTTGCGCCAACAGTGGCGGTACGATGCACGCTTATTTCCATTTCCAACTGTCAACGGTATTACAGGACCTCGTACGGCATAGATTGAACCCCGGTTCTCATAATTAGTGGGGAAGCACCAAAATCAGTAAACCACCATTATTAATGGTAGGCAAGAAGTATGTAATTTACGGTTCAATTCCCTTTTGTTGTTCGTTTCGGGGGCTGGGGGCATGATTCGCACCACTATCGAGTATGATTCTAAATTTCTGGATGCACTCCGTCCACCTCTTTATTTACTAAACTCGGTTGGCTTACCCTTACACAGAGGATTCTTTACAATAAAATTGTCTTATCATTCAAAATTATTACATTTAATACTCCACTTTATCTAAATTTCCATTTTATTGAAAAATCTCTTGTTTCCAAAACGGATATCTTGCTCCGTTCACAGACCAGTAAATCTCTTTTTCTTCAAAAATGCAAAACGGAATCCATGAAACGTACTTTTCATTATTCTGCATGTCTTTTATGGAACAATCTGCCTTTTGATATAAAGATGTGTAAAAATGTTGAAAATTTAAAGATTAAACTGAAAACTCATTTATTTTGCACACTGAAGGAACCATAATATTCAACTGATGACATACTTATTATTTGTAACTTGCAACTGCATTCTATTTTATTTTGTGTGTAATTATAGTGTTCTTCCTATATTCTACTTGTATAATGTATATGTTTTGTAGTTTGGGAGTGACTTATCAAACTTCCCACTTTAAAATGCTATTGCATTTCTAATGATTTTAAATTTATCCTGATATTACATGTATATATGTCTTTGTAGTTTAGGAGGGACCTATGGAAGATTAGTTTTTTTTTTTGCAAACTAAATACGTTGCCTCATTAAATAAAGTTTTTATTATTATTATTATTATTATACTATGGTACTTTTATGACTTATGACATGTTTTTATGTGAGCAAATAAGAAGACCCAAAAGTAACCATACACACGGCGTTGAACAGACAATCCTACTCATTGTCACGTATAGGTTTTGAATCGAAACCTCCCCATTTAACGCAATGACAAGTTATTTTCTTAAGCGTTAAACTATTCAACCAAAAATCCCCCCCCCCCACAAATGTATGGGAAGGAGTACATAAATTCCATAGATCCTACATAATTCTTGTCTGTCATCTTTCAGAGTGGGCGAATACAAATAGTCGATCATAAAGGTTACACTTCTGTAAATTATCTTTAAGTGTATGTGAGTTCATGTAGTCGACCATATATTGTATTATTGTGCAGAATAAGACAACAACCTCTTAGTGTAGATAAATTATCATACCAGTTAAAAATAACATTATTATGTTTTACTTTGCATTTTGAAAAGCTAGCATCTAGTTGGGAATATATTTTTTAAAGGTCTTTATTATAGGAAATCGTTCAAAATAACATGGTTTAAAGGGACTATCCCGATTTGAACACAGTCTCAAAATATTGAGTCGTTTGGACATGAACGTCAAAACTGCTTATCCGGACACGTAACCCTTTTAAGATTTCTGGTCAATTTTTTCGTTGGGTTACCTGATAATCTATACAGTGCATGACCCACGTGCTGTACTTGATAACAAAAGGTAAATTTCACCTACACATTATTTTTATAAAATAAAACTTTGGTTTTATCCAGACACTGCATAATACAGCTTGGGGACACCGATCCCCATTTCCAGATAAAGACTGACAGGTTTAAGGTGTTTAAAAACGTATCACATATATTGAGTTAGTTGCTCGGCCCTAATAAAAAGGATTTTAAGGGCTTTTAACACAAAATTATGCAGTTTTATTCTCCGAAATATTATCAGGATTGGCCCTTTAAGTCTTTAATTATTGTATATACTTCATATCAAATACCTGTAAACACAATCAATGTAACAGAGAGACTGTATTTTGGTAACATAACAAGGATATCTTCATTTTCCTTTATATTTAAAACAGATTATATTGATTTAACGCATTTATTTTTAAAGATGCATTAGCGCTTTGGGGATCTTGCTTTTTCGGTAAAAAAAACAAAAACAAAACAATTTTTGATTTGCAGTGAATTGATTTTAAAGTTACATCGATTGGTTACAGATTTGACTGTACTCAAAATTTAAGACAGATAGCCCGATCCAGTGCTAGAATATATTGAGTCGTATATATTATGGTCAATAGCGGTTTTCGAGGAGCTTAACGGGCGATCTTTCAGACCTATTAGTCGTGTCTCAGGTTGTTTTGAATACACTATACATAATTAATTACATTTACTGCGTTGTTGAATATGACAATGTCCTTAAAGAGAGCTATTTCTGTTGAATCGTACCGCTTCTATCAACTATAATTATGAAAGCATTTTAAAATGTGAACGGTATAATGATGGACATTAACTTTGGGCTTTCAAATGTTAATGGTTTTTCATTAATATTTAATTATATTCCCGGGTGATGACTGTTTTGACTGTCATGTGTAAAAAGGTTTTGTTGCTCTCATCACGGAAGTAGATGTATTTAATTTTAAATATCCAAGCACTGGTCGTTCTATCTAGGATAGTTCTGACGTGGTTTTCCCTTGTCAGTGGTACAGGACGGAGGACCTGAAAAGGACAGCTACCTAGTTCTTCGGATGGGACGAAAAACCGTGGTCCCGTGTATAAATTGGCATGCACGTAACAGATCCCTTGGCAGTTGAAATTCGCCGGGAGCGAACCCACGATCTCAAAGCTAGCGAACCAGCGTCTTACTCACTTAGCCACCGTGGCTCCCTGTATTGAAGTTAAGAATGGATGAATAAATGTAATATAATGGTGTCTTACGTCCAACTGTTTGCACCTACTTGGCTGATGGAGACGAGCATGTCTCATAAAGTGTGCTATGAGGGAAATTGTACCCGAGATCTCGGTTGTAGTTATTAAGAACAATACTCCCTCCCATAAAACGCCCTTTTTTCCTTTTATTTAACTTCATACTGGTAAGGTTTATGATTTAAAGCACCTCAGACAATGTTTAGAATGTAAGATTCCAAAAACAATTTGTACAGATTCCCTTTAAATCGACCAAGCTCCGTAACTATGTGACCATATACTAGTCTTGTTTTCATATCTGGCTTGACTGGCAAACATAGCACGGATATGAAGGTCTGATTATGTGAACGAATTTGACTCATCTTAGTCCCCCACCTGTTGATTCACTGATATCAAGAGACTTTTTAACCTTTGACATATTCACAGGTATTCTTTTTGTTATTAGTATATATGTCAAAGTTCT